ATTTATTATTTATTATATAATAATAATAATAATATACGTTTACAATGTTTTGTAACCTTTTGGTTTTTTTCTCCTTTATGTACAATATCCTTTTATCTTCCTACTCATCTATAAATAAACTCTCACTTTTCTCTACATCAATATATTATATTCTCCTCTTTATCTCTTCAATTTCATTTTATTAATATGGTGAGTTCTAACTTTTTTTTTGTTTCCTATTATCTAAATATAATATGATGTTTTTATTTTATATATCTTTTTCCACCTTAGTTCAAAATATGTATATTATTGTATAAACTATTTTATATATCTAAATGGACCGGGTGTTCTCCATTTTTTTTTTTATGCGGAGTGTGGACACCCGAGTGTTGAATCCGGGTGTGCACACATCATTTTCCTAAAATTTAATGTATAAATATAATCCCGTACAATGCATATGTAATGCATAGGTATTTAATCTTATTTAAATATATTATAGTTTTTTAATTGAGAAAAAAGAAAATATTATCTAAACCTTTAAATAGAATAATAGTAAAGAAAAAAAAGATAAATGGGATAAAAATTAATATTGAGTGTTTTTTTAAATTCTTTTAATATATTTTTTTAGTGTGATTATATATAATTTTTTTAAAAAAATACTCCTATTAATTACTAAACATAATTTTTAACTCAACTTTAATTACTTAATTAAAATTTTTTAATCAAAAATTATTATAAAACTAAGAATTGATAAAAAATAATAAAAAAATCTAAATTCTAATATAAAAAATAAAAATAAAAAAACCCGTGCAACGCACGGGCAAAACAAAAACTAGTTATGGATATTATTCAAACATAAATACCACCATTGCTGTTAAGAATTTAATTAATTTAATGATAATCTTGTAAAAAGTTTTAAATTCGAGGTGCATAACACATTGGTAAAGTGAATTAAGAGATAAAAAATAATTATTTTTCGTTGTATAATTTAAAATAAAAAAAACAATACCGCTATTACTAGTTAAAGTTTTTTCTTTTCTTTTCTTTTCTGACAATCATAATATTTTCAGGCCACCTTTCATACATTTTAAGTATGTTTGGTACAGCTTACAAGTGTTTTACTTTTTTTATATTATTTATATTTCATAAATTTAAATTTTCCTTTTAAAAACTTACATTTTAAATATTTTTTTAACTTTAAAAAGATCTTAAATAGTAAAAGATCAAAAACGTCAAATTCAAACTTTTCATAAACTTTTTTTTTACTCACTTTTTTCTATCTTTAAAATCAACTTTTAAATTTTTTTCTCCAATAAAAATTTAAATTTATCACTCATAAATAATACAAAAAAGTAAAATCTCCAACAAACTGCACCAAACGGCCCTAATCTCTCTTTAACAATCTAACCACAACAATCTGGTGTATTCAATAATATTATTTTCCTTAGGTACTGACTCCAAAACTTAAACCCCCTCTTAGTGATCAAACTTACAAATGACACTTGTTACTTGTTACTTGTTACTAATGAATGCAACCTTGAGTTAAGTGAATAGCCATTTGAAAAAAGAAAAACGTTATCTTTTTTCATATAACTTATCATTAGATGATTATGATAAATAAATAATAACAATAATAATAATAATAATAAAATTACAAGGATGCTGGGGGAAAGGGAGTATTCTTCACAAATAATCAGAGAGGTTGAATTCCCACCATCATGCCCCAAAGCTCTTAGGCTGAGGGGTGAACCAACTAGCCGCATGGGCTTGGTTCCCAAATGTTAAGATGAAACAGGAACAGAGAGCTCTACTGGTACTAGAAAACTTTATTCCAAACGAAAATTCCCTTCTTAGAAACACCATTGTCAATCCCCAATAATTCTACCATAAAACAGCACAAATCCAGCTTTTCATGATAAAATAATTATACATAAACGGAATACTGCATCCGCGCTCAATGCCAAAGGAAAATTCGAAATCAAGGTTTGAGTCATGGCTGCAAAGACAGTTAACCATATTACAACCAGATATCTCCGTCCCCTGGAAAAAGAAGCTCTTGTTAGGAACAGGTGAATGCATTATTATGATACTGAGCAGAAAAAAATATAGTTTATACTTTTTCAAAGCTTTTTTTTTTTTATGATAATAACTTCAAAAGCCAGCTTACTGAACCGCAGCTCACAACACATGAAAACACAAGCAAGTGGCATAAGCACATACCTTGAAAAAGCAGATACTGTCACTGTTACTCATGCATGGCGACGTCTTTTGGCATTGTCCTCGGTGAATGACTGCCAGTTATTGTGGTCAAGGGAGCTCAAGTCATCAAGTTCGGCAATGGCTAACAAGTATTGCGTGAGCTTTACAAGCTCTTGGTCAGTGTCTCTGTTTGCATGAGCCTTCCGGAATGGTTTGATTGTCAAACCATTCTGTGGGTTCATCACAAAATTTCTTCTCAGATCATCAAACATTATAGTGTTCTTTGGATTGTAAAACTGCCAAAGTGACATGAAAATCACATGTTAGTCACAAGCAACTCATTCACATCTTAAAATGAATATCTTTGGTTTTTCACAAGGTCATAATGTAGCAAGAAGAACAGTTGAATATAAAGTTTAAAAAAATGTGTTTCTGTGCTGGTATCATATGGTTCTACTTCCCTTGTTCAACTTTCGAAAGACAAGGAAAGAAGAAATTACAAGGAAAATTTTTTCCATAACTTTTTCCCTGGGTTAATTATTTCACAAGCTAGGCAAGAGAAAACAACGGAATATCAGTGACTAAAAGTTCCAAACTTTCCTCAGGACAACAAGTAAAAAGTGATGCAAATATGGATCCCTTATATACCTGAGGAAAATGAGCCCAAATCAAACCAAGTGGTTTGCAATCAAAGATTCTATGAGAATCTGATTGAACTGTGATCATTGCTAAATGGTCCAGAAGTGCTGTGATTTTGTAGTTAGAGCTGTTGAGTACTCCTAGCTGTCCCATCTTCAATTCAATCCATTTCATGCTGTAGAAAGGGAAAAGATTTACTTTAGCAACAGGGCACCCAATTCCTCAAGGTGGGGCCACATAAACATACTACTGTATGCATGGACATAAAGAAACAGAAGTAAGGTAGCAGACATACACACAAAATTAGAGTATGAGAATGAGATTCTGAGAAAGGGAAACCCCATTATGGTAGGTATAACATGCAATAAGGTCTAGGAGAGAAATCCCAGAATAATAATAAATTGAAAAATATGCTGAATATAGGTTTCTTTAATCAAGGTATAAGACCAGTTCTCATAAGAATTTGAGAAAAACAAAAAGAATCAGAAAAAATCTGACCTTGTTGCAGACCATATCACGATATCATACTCAGCATAAGCAGCTGTAAGAAACTCATGAAGATCTACAGAAATAATGTTAGAGTTAACTGCTAGCAAAACAAACTGATAAGAAAAAAGGTAAATATATATCTACAAGGGAACTACTTACAAGGCCTCATGAGTTGAAGGGGATTCTCTGCTGTGGACCGGTGATCAAATAAAGTATAGTCAATATCCAAAACAAGCAGTTTCTTTCCAGGCCGGCATGGAGTTCTAAGTTCAATCTATAAAGTTTTACACATGAAAGAAGAAAGATATCACCAACTTGAATAGATGAGTTTTTCAGTCAAGGAAGTCATTTCACTCTCTTCTTCCATCAAATCCCAACCCCCCACTCCCAGGTGCAGGGTGCAGGTCTCTCTCTGAAAACTGTGCAGCTTCTAATTAATAACATCAGAGCCCTTTTTATTATGCTCATTACAAGCTTACATATGTCTTTTAAATTTAACAAGCTACCAACTCCCCTAAAACATTATATAAGAAACAGATACATAACAAAAAGAGATTCTGACCTTGTATTGATCTATACGTCTCTTTAATTTCTGCTTATTGACCTCTTTATCTTTAATGTCAACAGCTTCATCTTGTCCAATTTCAAAGTCATCAATAACCTCTGGAGAATCCACTGGATCCACAATTATGTCCTCCTCAATAGTACTGAATGTGAAGATAAAATTCAAAATCATTACTATACAACACGTTAAAAAAAATAATAAAAAAGAACAATGGATAATACAAGTTACCAAGCAAATTATAAACATCAAGAATGAAAACTAATGCTGTTTTATTAATTTTTATGATGAAATTATATCTCAAATTGTCTTTCTTCTTTGGCAATTGTCTTTCCTACAATTTGTCTCTTGCATAGCATCATGAAACTGATCTTAGGCACTATACCAGCAACAGAAACTAACAAAGATGAAAAAGAGAAATAACATTCCATCATGTTTCAGCAGTTCAAAAATTGGAGGAAACTCAATACCTTGGACCCATATCTCACATAAAAATAAAAAATTGATCTTGGTAATTGCCCAGTAAAGAGAACTGAATTCCACCACACAAAAGAAGATTTTTTGCAATCGAAATTTGACAGAGATAATTGCTGCGCCCTTTACCTTGAAAATTTCAGTCAGCTCAAATTTTGAATATAAGCAAAAGCACGAATATATGAAAAAGTAAAGAGAGAAAGTACCCGATCATGGTCATCTTGAGAGATGATTTGAGGGGGAGAGAAGAGAGCAGGACGGCGTCATCGGAGAGCTTGTTGCCAATTTTCGGGTAGAGAAGCTTCTGTCGTTTGGGGAGAACGTTAGTGAGTTCGCAGATTCTGCGCTTCAACTCTGCCACCGAGTCGTCGCCGCAGACTCGGACAGTGTATTCTTTGCCGCTCCACTTTACCGTCAGTGTCAGCTCCTCCTCTGTCGCCGACGAAGAAGAAGCAGCAGCCATTTCTATGGAATACAGATGGCTCTTCTGGGTGTCTCTTGGAGTTATGTGTGAAACGAAGCGTGTTATTACTTGCCTTCAAAAAAAAAAAAGAAAAGTGAAATGAGGGGTGGAAAATCATAAAGAAGAAAAAAAAAAATTTGAGTTTCATTTACAGTATATTTAGTCTGTAGGGAAGAGAAAGAAATAAAATGATGCAATATGCTTTTATTATTATTATTATTTTTATTTAAATAAATAAATTATTAAAAAATAAAGTAAATGGCTTCTCTCCTTCTCTCACTCTATTTTTTTTTTTTTTTAGCATGTAGGAAATTTTGAGGGATAAATTTTTTTTTTTTAACCATCAAAAAAAATCAAATTTTTGATCAATTAAATCTAAAACCTAAAATTTGAAAATAAGTTATTGGACCTAAAAGTTTGGTTCCTCTCACTCTAATTCTTTTAGTAATCAAATAAAAGTAATTTTTACCCTCCTTTCCTCTCTTCCCCCATTTTCTTTAACCTAAATTTACTATTAGGAAAACCAGCATTGCGTAAGGCATGGTGTGCCTCGCTAAATGAATGGATAAAAAAATAATCGTTTAGCAAGACACACCTGATTTAATATTATATAATTAATTTTTTATTAAAAATTACACATAATATTATATATATTTAATTATTTAATATTGTATTACATTATATATAATATTGTGTAAAAACTTTATCCAATCATTTAATACCACTTTACGTTAGGTAAGAAATCGTCATGCGAGTAGTATCCCTAGTTGGTTATAAGCATAACATAGGTGAGAATTAAACCTTTATTTATTTATTTATTTATTTTTAAAAAAGCATCATTTTGGGATTAACCATTCTCATTTAGTTGTAGCGTTACCTTCACGAATTACTTCCTCTCGTCATTCTCATTGGGAAAATAGTTATGGAAAAACCCAAGTTGTCTGTATCGTACCGATTGGTACGTACCAATTTTTTTATTGATCCAAAACGGTATTGTTTACACTAATTTTTGCAAAATAGTATAATGATGTCACGTGTCATCCATGTTGGCAGATATTTTATTAGTTGAAAGTTGTTGAAGTAAATCTCTCTGGATAAAATTGAGTGGTTATTTTCACAACTGCAGTAAGGTTGTTGGTTTGTTGCGAACTTCCAAGAGAATAATTGGTAGAATCAACAGAATAATCAGTTTGTTTCAGATTTCATGCTGCCGTTGATTGTCAAGTTGCTGCCACAAATTTCTAAGCATGCTGCCAAGGGTGTTTACTGCTATAAAGATGCAAAGAAGAAACGAAGCGAAAAAGACCAGCCTCTCACACAACTAGCCCAGCGCTATCTACATTTTAATTTTACAAGCAATGTCTTAGTTTAGATCCAGTTTCCTCAAACAGTTTTCCTAATTTAGTCTTTAGCTCTATGCTGCCATTAGTTTCAACTCTGATTTTTGTTATTTCATTTTGAACATCTCCATTGATGTATTTAGTTTCCTGCAATTCAATTTACTGCAAGTTGCCCCAAAATTCATCTTTCTAGCTTCTTTTAAGTTTAGTTTTATGCTTCAGCTTTTATTTCGTTTTCTACGTTTTCATTGTTTTCTACGTTTTCATACTTTCGCGGCGACATCACGCTTTCTCTTTGCAATTTAGTTTTCCTGCCATGCACTCTCTTTTTTCTCCTTTCCTTTATTTTCCTCTTTTATTTTGATCAACAAACTAACATTTTAGCCCTAGTTGTGGGAAGCCCCTGATGTTCTTCCAGGGCAATTATTTATGGACCTTTATGCAGGAATGCACCCCGTTTCTGCGACAATCGTCTGACCAGGGCGCACCTCATAATTTATTTAACCGGTGCTCTTCCATCGACTTGCAGCCGAGTTCTACGCTTGGAAGTAGTGAGGGTCACCGGGAATCCCTCTTTCTCGCTTTGAGCAAAGTGAATGGCATGCCTTCGCAGTCTTATTTGCCACGCGGCCAGAAAGAGAGATTTTGAAGACAACAATCTCTTTTTGGCACGCCCGGTGGGACCCACTGTGGACTTTCACAAGTTTGTTGATCATATTCTCTATTACTAGATTGTGCCACCATGGCAAGTCCTTATTTTGATGACTGCCAGAAGCTCTTCATCACTCCGTCACAAGCTTCCTCTTATGTCAATCCACTTTATGATGAGAAGGCAACAACTGACAGTGAATCTATCAAATCACTTGCTGAAAGGATAGCTAATTTTGCTGAGGAATCTAAAAGGCTTCATGAGGAACGCCTGAGGAGGTTGGAGGAAAATTTGAAAGTATGGAAATTAAATCATCCAGAACTTAAAACCCCTCAACCCGAAAGTGAGGTTTTAATGGAGGATTCAAAGAAGTGCTAGGCAGTCGCGTCTCCAGGAACTTTGAAGCAATTTTGCAAATCGCAAAACGTAACAGAGAGGCCAATTGTAAATGAAGGTCAGACGACACTGAGGTCAGAGAGTAACCCCATGATCACAGTCGGGGGGCATGAATCACAATTGCAGCGTGCTGTCCAAAGTTAGCAACGCCATGCAGCTTTGGAGGTGACTTCAACAAGTATGCCTCCAAGTCATTCTAAGTCTGCAAAGACTAATACTAGCAATAGTCCTCTTACTCCTGGGAGGCATAAACCAACTCAGGTGCAGACATGTCAGCCATCGATCAATGAAGGTCCATCTGATGGCCAACAAAAAGCTAATGCTGCTACACAAAAGCCAACACTTTGGCCAGCATCAATACATAAATCTGATAAGGTATCTACCTCATCTATTTCTACTTCTTTTGAGACTAATGAGCATATTTCTTCAGCCTTGCTTAAGAAGTGTTCGCGGCAACCATGCTTTCTTAATGGTCGAAGCCTTCCAAGTTCAATTATGGACAATGGCTGAAGGTGAAATATCCTTTTAAAGTCGTTAGTTTGAAGAGGGGAGTCATTTCCAGTCTCGGGGGGCAACCTAGTCAGATTGAACAACAAAGGTTGCAAGACCTTATTGCCAATGAAGTTCACAAAGCTATAGAAAAAGAGG